TTTCTTTACTTGCCTGATTTCAGGTGTAACTGGATGCTTGCTAATCTTTACATGGTGAGGGTTACACTGGTTATATACATCCAGAACCAGGCAAACTTTGTTGAGATGTTAAATCACTCTGATGGTGTTGATATAATATTAGCAAGGTGTATGTGTATCCTTGAATTTTTAGCAACCCAATAGCTGCTAACAGTCAAGCAGCATTTTATATAATACTCTGTGAGTTTGAAAGCTAAGGGATAATCAGACCTTAACTTAGTAGTGTGGTGTTTATAAGGACAGAGATACTTTCAGTCTATGTCCTAATCTGCTCAGTTATGTTCAAATTTTATATAAACCATTGCCTTCATCTGTTCAAGTACACACCCCCACCCACAGCCTTTTGAACCCCACACTAGAACAAAATGTGCCAGTGCTATGGGAATCTAAACTTCTTAGGCTGTATGTAATAAGAGGCTTATTATCCAATGTAAGTGATAGCCTTGAAGAACACTGGCTTTTAGACAAGCAGAAACCTTAAGAAGAGTAATGAGATTGAGATCTCTGTGGATAACCCACCTCGAAGAACCACAGTTGCTCTGGTAAATAGCCATTTTTTCTAGTGATATTCTGGTATAACTATGGGTTTGAAAATAGTTCTTTGCATGTTGCTTTTCCTTTGTATATAACTTCTGTTTCTGGTTTTCCACCCTCAATACTCACACTGGTGACCTAAATCTATAAGTTGGATGGACTGACTTCTTGAGATGAATGCATTTCCAAGGGAGCACAAGAGTACTTCCTAACGTTTTCCCCTGGCTTCTTTCAGCAGCTGCTATGTAATAATATAGAAATGTTAGTAGTACACTTCAGTTTGAGGGAAATGAGAAGACCAGCTGTATTTTAAGTCATACATAGAATCATAGAATCACAGAATAGTTAGGGTTGGAAAGGACCTTAAGATCATCTAGTTCCAACCCCCCTGCCATGAGCAGGGACACCACACACTAAACTATGTTGCCCAAGGCTCTGTCCAGCCTGGCCTTAAACACCTCCAGGGTTGGAGCATTCACAACTTCCTTGGGCAACCTATTCCAGTGCCTCACCACCCTGACTGTGAAGAACTTCTTTGTTGTATCTAACCTAAAGTTCCCCTGTTTAAGTTTAAAGCCATTAGTTTAAAGCCATTCTCATACATGAGAATGACTTAGTAATAATGAAAGTCAGAAGGGTGAAAACTGTAATCAATACACATTATCAAATATTCTCTATCACTGTAGGACCAACTTGGAATCCCTCAAAAAAACAGTTTAAGGACAGAGAGAAAACAGGAAAAATAGTTCAGTGCGTTGGATTCTTGTTTTTTTAGTTCTGTCCACACCATATATTTGAACTAATTTAACATAGTTGCTCAAGAAAAAATAAAAACCAGAGCAACAACATGAAAAAACTTGTTTGATACATTTGAGGTTCATTGAAGGAGCTCACTGAAATCTGGCACTTTTTGAAGAGTGTGAAGTTAATTATACACATAATTGACAGAGGATGTTCTGATCTTGTTCTGAACAAATC